AGCTCCGACCGTAATAGGCAGTTACATTCTAGTATTAATTGAGTTTCTCAAATATACGGTCAAAAAAAATATAAATAGAAAGTAATAATATTTTATTGTTTACTTTTAACCAGTTGTTTCGAGAAATTTTTCTTAAACGTATATTTTTTCTATTAAAAGTTTCCTACTCACCGGTTTTACCGCAGTCGCCGGAATATTAGAGAGACTTCTGGAGCGAAAAAATATCCCCGGCTCACGATCATATGAAGCAGCTAAAGGTGAGTTACCTTACTTTTCTGTTACATTATGACACGTGGGGGAGGGGGATAAACTTTAGGCATAATATAGCAAAGTCAACGAAATTTAAATAAAGACTTTGTTTAACTTTTCAGTACAAATTGGTGGTGGTGCTGTCCAGCCCTCAGATGCTCTCCCTTCGCCTTCACAAAGGGGAGATCGTCAACTAGTGTCACCCCCGCAGTCCCGTCAGTCGACACCGGCACCGGCGACGACACCATCGCCGACGCAGTCGCCGCCACCGACGCAGTCACCGTCACCGTCGCCGCCGACACCACCGACCTCGTCAGGCTCAAAATGAAGATCAGGAGCAGGAGCATCAGCAACAGGAGCAACGATGTCGGCAGCACGAGGTCAATAATTTTAATTATATAGATTTACGGGCGGAAAACTCGCGGCAATTTAGGAATTTCGCGATTCTATGGAGAGAGGCGACTTTCGCGATACGGCCGCCACCTGAAAGTAGCGATATCGCTCAATGGCTAGAAAACGCGTTTCATGAAATCCGAACGTATGCGGTACATACGTGCGAACCGAGTGATTACGTCGAGTTATCGTTTGAGTCGGCTGATCTAGCGCGTGGTCCAGCGGGATTGTTGTTTCGTCCAACACGCGACCTAACTCACGAAGACATATGTGGGCTCGTGAGTTCGTTGGCGCAAAGTGCTGGAGAAATCGATATCGCGGGAAATTTCACGGTACGCGTTTTCAGAGTTTCGCTACCTGCCGGTCGCGGACGTCAGTCAAATCGATTAACGCGCGAAGACGTAGCCAAACGCTCGATTTTACAAATTGCCAATTCCGACAATTTATGTTTTCTCCGTTCGCTTGTAGCGACACGCGTGCATTACGATCGCGGGCAGTTACGCGTGGGGGAACTACATGAAAGATGGGAATCCGTGAGACAGCAGCGTTCTTGTTTACAACGTGAGTTGGCTAAAGAATTAACGATGTCTGCGGGTATCACGATTCCCGAGGAGGGATGCGGAATTCGTGAAATTGAACAATTTCAACGGTTTTTCGCTGCGGAAAATATCGCGATAGTTGTTTACAATTTCAGTACTTTTGGTCGCGGCGAGAATCCGTTGTACGACGGCTGCGCGTTACTCTCCTCCCTAGGTCGTGAACCTTCATTCCGTTTAAATATTATGTATTACGAGCGTTCGAGGCATTATCAGCCAATTTTAAACATGAAAGCCGCGGCCGGTTCTCGAGGGGGGGATTGCGTGGCGTGCAACACCAGGTATCGGAACGGTAGAGAGCATCGTTGCGCGAAAAAATGTCCGCGATGTTACGCGATTCCGTCGTGCGAGGGTTCCGGCGCCGAGTTGGTTAGGTGCGATTCGTGTAATCATACGTTCTTCAGAAATCCCTGTTTCGAGCGTCATTGTGTGAAAAGATCTCACGAAGGAAAATCGGACGCATGCGTTTGCAAATCCGTTAGAATTTGCAACGACTGCGGACGCTTCGTGAAATCGAATTCGCGTCACGACTGCGACGTTATCTTTTGTAAAATTTGTCTCTCGTTCCAAACTTCGAATCATTCTTGTTACATACTTCCTCTTCGTCGTAAAGTCACAGTCGAAGACCCCGGAGAGGGGACGAGTACTGGGACAATGCGAGAAGAGAAGCAGGTGAACGACGAGAATGACGTCGAAAGTGTGAATGATGCGCGAAGTAGAAAAGATTGCGTCGCATTCGTGTTCTATGACTTCGAAACCCGACAAGACGGGACGCTCGAAGGAACGGAGAACGTAAAGATACACATACCGACTTTTTGCGTCACGCAACAAATTTGCGAAACGTGCGCGGAAATACAAGAAATGTCGACGCGATGTCGTTGGTGCGGAATGCGTGAATTTGTTTTTCGCCATGATCCGGTACAAGAATTTGTAGATTTCTCAACGCGATCGTCAAAATATTTTAACAAAATAATTTGTATCGCGCATAATGCGAAAGCGTTTGACTCTCAGTTTATCTTAAAATACATCGTAGAACAATCTAGCATAATTCAAGAGCCACGGATGATTTTGAACGGGACGAAAATTATCATGATGACGATCGGTAACACGAAATTTATTGATAGCTCAAATTATATGCCGATGCGATTATCTGATTTACCTAAGGCTTCGGACTGCAGGATACACCAGGTAAAGGCATCTTTCCTCATTTATTCAATAGAAAAGAGCATCAAGCATATATCGGACCAATACCTAGCGCACGGTATTATTCGCCCGAACAAATGAAACCCGAGGAACGCGAGCATTTTACAAAATGGCACGACGATATGATACAATCCGGTTTCATTTTTAATTCTCAATGCGAAATAGTCAAATATTGTCGTCATGACGTAGATATCCTTCGACGGGCGTACTTAGCTTTCAGGAAAATCTTTTTTGAACGCGGGAGCGTGTGTCCGTTCGTGGAATGCACAACTATCGTTTCTACGTGTACGAAAGTTTTTCGCAGAAACTTTTTACGCGGGGAAGAAATAGGAGTCATTCCAGCGGGCGGATACAGATATAGAGATAATCACTCGTGCAAAGCCGTGCAGTGGTTGGTGTGGATGGAGCGTGAGCTCAATCAACGGATAAGCCACGCGAGGCGAGGGCGCGAATTTCGGATTGCCGGTACGCCTGTCGATGGATATTACGAAATTGATTTGGAGAATAAGATGCGACGTTACGTGTTACAATTTTACGGATGCTTTTGGCATGGGTGTCCATCATGCTTCCGAATAAATCGCGAAAGAAAACTCAATTCTTCCACCGATCATGGCGATACGATCGACGCGCGCTACGAGCGAACTCTCGCAGCGACATGGCATCTTCGACGACGGGGATACCTGTTGATGGATAAATGGGAGTGAGATTTCGACTGGCAAATTCGTGAGAATAATGAGATGCGTGATTTTCTTGAAAATGCTCAGATAATAAAGAACTCATCTCTCGATCCGCGCGATGCATTTTTCGGTGGCCGAACAGGGAATATAGCAACCCGATGCGATGTTGCGGGAACGGAGAAAATACGTTACATAAACGTATGCTCTCTGTATCCCTATGTACTGAAAACGGGTGCTTTTCCGATCGGTCACCCAAAGATCTACATCGGAGAGGAATGTTCCGAGTTAATCAGCGTAGCTCCGGATTTCGATTTCAACTCGCTCGAAGGACTCATTCGTTGTAAAGTACTCCCTCCGCGCGATCTCTTTCAGCCGGTACTCCCGTATCGCATACGTGACAAATTGTTGTTCGCGCTGTGTCAGAGTTGCGAAACGTTCTCGCAAGCTGAGTGTACACTCGGTCTCGCCGAGCGTAAATTCGAGGGTATCTGGGTATCCTGTGAATTACGCAAAGCCGTCGAGAAAGGTTATCGCATGTCGGAAGTGAGCGAAATTTGGCAATACATGGTCACGCGATATGATCCCGATACGCGGCAGGGTGGATTGTTTACCAGATATATCAATAGCAATTTTTGCAATTGAAGCAGGAAGCTAGCTGATGGCGGAACGAATGCGTGGATGACGAAGCTAAGGAGCGATATCTTCGGGAATACGAGGAAACCGAGGGCATCGTTCTCAATAAAAATAACATCGCTCGAAATCCAGGTCTACGTTCGGTTGCAAAGATATGCTTAAATTCCTTTTGGGGAAAATTGGGTTAACGATCCAATTTGCCTAACACCGAGATCGTGAAAAATTACCAGCGATTGGCAGTTTTGCTCACGAGTTCAGAACACGAAATAACCGATATATTATCCGTCAACGACGAGGTAATATATGTCTCGTGGAGATTGCGAGAAGAAGCGATCGTAGCTTCTCCCCAGACCAACGTCGTGATCGCGGTATTCACGACGGCGCTGGTGCGGCTGAAATTATACGAACATTTAGAATTATTGAATAGGCGAGTATTGTATTATGATACAGATTCCTGTATATATGTATATAAGTACAGGCGATCCGAATGAGTACGAGCCACGTACGGGCAATTTTTTGGGGGATATGACCGACGAACTCGAGAGCTACGGCCGCGGTAGTTATATCGAGTCGTTCGTGTCGGCTGGCCCGAAATTCTATGCGTACATTGTTCGTTCACCGGAAGATCGCCTGCAT